ACCATCATCGCGAAATAATCATCAACAAAACCAGACCAGTATATACCAAAATCGACCATCAGCAGCAATACAAATCCCTATGAGTAATGTAGAACCTCAACAACAACAAGAGGCAGCAAATTCTGTTCTGTTACAATATCAACTAACAAACGCTTTTCTCTATACAATCATAAATCATCATTTAAAAGAACAAGCGACACTGGCTGCCTCACAGATGCAATTAGCTGCAGCACAAGCACAATGTAATCTATCAGCGATGCTAGCTAATATTTTTTATCAACAACAAACCGGTATGGCAGCGGCAAACATCGCAAATTATCCATCGACAAGTACAACAAGTAAAACGTAAATAGAATTTTCTACTTAAAGCTTTCGTCATTTCTTTTTAATCCCAGGTACAAAATTTAACAATCGCCCGCTAACAAAATTTCATCCTTCAATTACTGTACAACAATATATTCGCAATTTACAACAAAATTCACTGACGGCATCTAGAACAACAAAACATGCTTATAATCTAACCATTAACAATACATCATCGACTAGTGCTATTAAATATACATCATCTCAACAACAGTCATCAATAACTGGCATCGATTCTAAAAATAGATTCGGTCAGACACCATCTGTGTTACTTACTTATACCCAACAAACGGAAATTGAACGTGGCATATCGTTAGATGAAGCGATTAATCAACAACAAATCAAAGAAAGTTCAACAACTGTCCAAAAACAACAGCTTGATGAAATAACAACCACCACTGTGCTACCCATAGATGACATCAATAATAATTTTGTTCAACAACACGAAACATTTTGTACAACATTATTACAATGTGACTAATAAACATGCATAAAATATTTTTTCTTCTGTTTGTACATATATGTATAGTCTGCATTTATGTTTCTAAACAAATAAAGTTTTTTCTATTGTAAGTAAATAAATGTTTAGTTTAGTGTAAGAGAAACGAAAATATTTGTTAAGGAATAAAGGATATCCTTTGCTAAAGCTGTAGACTTGGCTGTACTACTAGAAAGAAACTTCTTCCTCATTGCTCGTGAGAGAAAACAACATATGAAGCGTATATAACTCTTACTGATTT